AGTTTATATATTTGTTGTGACCGTCAAAACTGACATTAATAAATTTATTTTAAAGAATACTTTACATGATTTCTTTATTTTTGACCCAAAAGTAAGCCCGTTTTCTGCAGGACAAACTTTTTAACTAGAAGTGGTCCTGGTAGCTGAAGGCTTTTTTTGTTACTTTTGTTCCTGCAGTAGAAAAGGGCGAGGCCAACAAAAGGCTCTGGATTTGAACAAAGGTCACTTGGAGGGTTGTTCTTAATGCTGAAGCCTACGAGTCCCCCCTCACCTCAAGGTGCACACTGAATAACTGAATGTTGTGTTCACAAATAGTAACTATTACTGCTGTACAACCTAAAGTACACAGACCTTTTCTGCTTTAGTGAAGATTAATCAATGCTGAGAACATGTAATTAGACAGAAACATTAAAGGGAAAGACAAGAGAAACTGTATGTGTTAAAAAACAAAACTAACATTATCACAACCTTAAAAAAAGAACATCCTCACTTACTTTATTGGCTCCAAACTGCACTCTGGCTTTTCCTTTGACTAAAGTGGCATTGATCTGCATGATGACAGACTCAATGGAATAGGCACTGCTCCAACCCTGCAACCAGAAAACCCAAAAAACAGCAGGTTTTTATAACTGAAGCTCATGAAGAGAAAAACACAGCAGAAACAGCAAAACAACTCAAAGCATCACTAAGGCTACATTCACACTGTAGGCAAAGGTGACCTAAATCTATCCCCACAAYAAGTGGCCTACTTGTGTTTTTTAAAGACAGTCTGAACGTGTCAAACCAATTTTTGCAAACCCGATCCAGGGGCCTCATGCATCAACGGTGCGTACGTACAAAAACCTTGCGTACGTCATTATCCATGCATAACTCCGGATGTATCATGAACGTGGAAATGTGCGCAGCCCCACGCCAACTCCAGGGYTGGCATACGCACGTTTCTGTGGTTTTGGTTCCATTGGCGACACTTAGAGGTGATTATGAGAAACTGTTCATGATGTGAAAATGATTATTGTTCACACCAGACACACAAGATTAACAATTATTACATTCTACATGGACGTAGTTAAATGAAGGACGCGCAAAGTTGTGCCAAAAATACATTCAACAGGAATGGATTCAGCCTTACTGGATATAATAAATAGTGTAACACTTAGAGTATTGATTTATAAACAGAGTTTTGTGATCCACGATGACCAGTGGCTCATCATCCGTTTTCAGGAATAATCCTTTTTCACTTTGACACTGCTGCGCTCTGGGAGGGCGACACAGCAAGGAGCCGTGCACCACGYGTGCACCTGCAGCAGCAGTGATCAAACTGGGGTTCCACAGGAGCTTTCCAGAGGGAGCTGGCAGACCRATCGGGACTGTGCCAGTCCAGTCCACCCAAAGTCGAATCATGACCAATAGAATCATCTCATCCATATGATTATAAAGGCTGAGTTATGGTCGCGCTCTGGAGYGTGCGCACCCTCGCCGGCAGTGGAGGTGTTTCATACTTGGCGTTTACGTTGTAGATTTCTCCAAAATGACAAGTGGAAGTACACTTTACAACTTGTGAAAATGCTCGAGCAAAAGCTTGACAGACAAACAGACTGCGCACAAAGGCTGCGGCGCACGCAGCGTTTGTGGAGACTCTCCAACATCACATCATGTTATGAAAACTCTCCACTGAGGCGCAGACTCGTTTCTTCATATCAACTATGAAATAAACAAAGATCTATGTTCTACCAAACATCTGAGTTCCTCTGTGTTTACAGTAACTATGGTAATAATTTCATGCACAAAGTTAATATTTTCAGACTCAGAATGGATGGAGGAGCCAGTTGCACAGGATATCAGTCTAAATATTGATAGTATCAATACCAACATCATGTARCTTCAAGCTCGGAACTCTGCTTGTGTTCAGATGCAGAACAGATGGCCAGCTGCTTCTTCTTTTTAAACATGTTTTTTAGATTTGTCATTTCCTGGATGACTGAGAATTTATGCAAAAACACTTTCCTAATAGTAGTTTACAAACATGCTGGATCGTATTGATCCTAGCATGATGAGACATGTAATTCTACACCTGAGTGGGTGAGAAGCAGCAAGATTAAATATAAACATTGAACTAAACAAGCATGTGGGATAATAATTTAGTCGTCTCGATTGCATAATTTCAGTTACGATACAAAAATGCTAACATCAAGATTTATTTCTGTAAACATGACAAGCTGCATGTGAAGTTGTGCCTTCTTTTACACAAGTGGGTCGCTTCAGGGCCATGGATTGTTCACACTGGAGTCTGATAGAGGTCACGTTTAAATTGTAATGAGAACACTCGTGCAAAAAATAAAATAAATAAATAAAACTCAATTAAATTTTTGACCCACAGTGCAAATGTATCCATATTCTGCTACACACCTGCTTGGTGAGAAGTTCCATGCAAAGGGCGCCTCCTCCAAGAACGTAACTTAAAGAGAAAAAAAGACAAAGAAAAGCAGTTTTAGTTTGAATGCAACATCAATACACACAAGACAGCAAATCCCAACTAGCTATAAAAACRTAGATTAAAATATATATAAAAATAAACGTACCCCCCAGAAAGCACAGGAGAAACTACCCRGACAAATGGTGGATCAAAAGGAAAATTATCCTGAGAAAAAAACAACAACAAAGAAACAGTCCAGGGTTTGGTCTTTAGAAGAAATTATCATTAATCTGATGTTAGTTTTACTCACCTTATACGAGAAGTTTAGTAAAATGTAATCCATTCCTTCTTTTTCCTTTAAGACTTGTAAATCACTGTGTAAGGGGCTGTCTGGATCCACCCTGTTGGTTGTTAAACAGAACATTCAGTCGGTCAGTGTTGATGCTGACACAGAAACAAAAACAGACAACATGGCACGAGTTACTTACGTCCTCAGTTTGACGTGCCATTCATACAGGCTGTCATTACACAGCTCCACTGAGTAGATGCCTGCAAAACAAATCAGATACAAGTCTTCAGACACATCGCATTTTAAGCTATKAAGCTGAAGWATGTGTCATCACCTTTTTACATTAAMAGGATTCTCTTACACAAAGAGGCAAAGCTATAGATCCATTCTGACAAGAAGTAATCTCTCTCATGGGTCAGCAMTTACAAAGTTATAAACTTAACGAGTAAAAAGAAAAAGTTCAGAGGTTCTGAATGTCTAATCTTATCCATTCATTTAGCACCTTATTATCAGAAGTCCAGCAAATTAACCCGTTACAACAATGAAAAGGCTCTGACAGTGTGTCATTTCTCATCTCTGTTTTTGACATTTCCTTTTATTAGCAACAAATCCCCAGCCTTTGTACAGTGTGCATACCTGTCTTGTAACTCTGAGACTTGTAGATCTCTCTTAGCTCCTTCATCAGGCGGTCAGAGGCCTGCACTGAACCAGATACAGCTCCCTGCAATGTGGCAAAAAAATACCAATCACAAACATACAGAGCTTTGCAGTTCATTGAAAACCATCTGCATTAAATGTGAACCAACATCAGTGACACAACTATGTCCCTCTGAATATATTCATGGTGCAAAAAGGTCCTACACTACTTGCATGACAAGTAGAGTACATTTAATTTATACCTGAAAAAAATATACAATTCATTTTTAACTATTTTAAACAGAATCACCAGCTGAGTCACAGAACAAGATCCTGAGAAACCTTAGATTATTTACGGAAAGAAAAATATTACCCATTATAGTTTTTGCTAGTTTGATGAGCAGACATTACACACAGATCACATCATTAAGCATGAGTAATCAATAAATGCATCGTTCGTTTCTAAAAATGTTACCACAAAGGTCACTAGACTTACGTTTAGGTGGTCTTGTCTCTGGTTTTTTCGGATCTTTTCAAGGATTGCTAGATTTTCCTTCTCAATGCCATCGTCTTCTGATTTCTTCCCGTCCACAGGCTCCTCCACTTTCATCTCGTAGTGGTCCAGGTCTTCAATGTCCTAATGATCAAAATGAGATGTTTTAAAACGTGTGCAGTCAAGGTTGGTGCTACTTGAAAATGGAATTTTCAACTGTCTTGTTCACAATGTGTTTAAGGAAAAAAAACTGCATGGTCTAATTAACATTAACAAATTAAACCTATAACAACAACAACAACAATAATAATAACAATAACAATAATAATAATAATAATAATAATGCATTTTATTTGTTAGCGCCTTTCAAAA